GAGTTTGAATGCTACCTTCATGACCTTGGCTTCTATATCCTCATATACAGAAGAGCAAACATAGCTGTTGGATGGTTAATGATTTAACAAGATAATGAATGTAAACTATTTAGTATTGTATCTGGCACATAGTAAGGGCTCAATAAATGGCAGCCATTAGCATTTTTAAACAGGTTTATTGAGGCATAATTGATGAGGATTAAACCATACATATTTAAAGTATACATGTTGATGAATTTTGACATGTATATAAAGGCATGAAACCATAATCACAATCAAGATAATTAACATATCCATTCCTTCCAAATGTTTCCTCACCCCTCCTTTGTAAACCTGCTCTTCTGCAAAAATTCCTTCCCCAGGCAACCACTAATCTTCTGTCAACATAGATTAATTTAACTTTTATAGATCTTTCTATAAATGAAATCATACCATCTGTACTGTTTTTGTCTGTCTTCTTTCTCCTAGCATAATTATTTTGAGTTATACATGTTGTTCTTTGCATCAATGGTTCATTTTTTATTGCTGAGTAATATTCCTTGGTGTGGATATACCAATTTGTTTTTCCATTTACCTTTTGATGGGCATTTGTGTTGTTTCCAGTTTTTGCCTATGACAAATAAAGCTGCTGTAGTCACTTGTGTACAAATACTTTCATTTCTTTTAGGTAAATACTTAGGAGTAGAAGAGTTGAGTCATATGGTAGGCATATATATATCTCACTGTGGCTTTAATTTGCATTTCCTTGATGACTGACGATGGTGAACATATTTTCATGTTTCTTTGCCAGCTGTATAGCTACTTTGATGATACATCCAAGTCTTTTGCCCACTTTTGACTGGGTTTTTAGTCTTCTAATTAAATTGTAAGGAGCACATCTTACCATTTAACAAAGTTTTTTAAAAACAGCTTTATTCAGATATAATTCGTATACCAGGCAATTTGCCCATTTAAAGTATACAATTAAATGGCTTTCAGTTTATTCAAAAATTATACAACCATCACCACAATTAATTTTAGAACACTTTCATCACTCCCAAAAGAGACCCTGTACCCTTTAGCCATCAATGCACATTCTCCTCATCCCCCACAACCACCCTTAGGCAACCACTAATCTGCTTTCTTTCTCTATAGATTTGCCTATTCTGGACATTTCGAGTAAATGGGTGTGTGTGTGTGTGTGTGTGTGTGTGAGAGAGAGAGAGAGACTGGCTTTTTTCACTTACCATGTTTTCAAGGTTCATCCATATTGTAGCATGTATCAGTACTTCATATTTTTTAAATAATATTCCATTGTACAGATATGTCACATTTTATTTACCAATTCCTGAGTTGATGGACATTGAGTTGTCACTACTTTTTGGCCTTTATGAATAATTCTCCTATGAACATTCATGTACAAGTTTTTATGTGGACAAAAGTTGTCATCTCTTGGGCATATACACAGGAGTGGAATTGCTGGGTCATAGGGAAAGTCTTGTTTAGCCTTTTTAAAAACCGCAGATTATTTTCCAAAACAGTTGTGTTATTTTGCATTCCCAGTAGCAGTAGATGAGGGTTCTAGTTTCTCTACATCATCATTAACACTTCTTATTATCTGTTTTTTTTATTGTAATCACCTTAGTATGAAGTGTGTATCTCACTGTGCTTAAAGAGTCTATTTCAGAAAAAAAATTTTAATTTTGAAGAAGTCCAATGTGTTGTTATTTCCCCCCATGGGTTATATTTTTTATGTTTTATTTAAGGAATCTTTGACAAGCCCAAGATTTTCTCTTAAGTTTTTTCCCCTAGAAGTTCTATAGTTTTAGCTCTCAAATGTATGTCTGTGGCTCATTTGGAGTTATTTTTTGTATACGATGTGAGATAAGATTCAAGGGTGCATATGTTTTGCATATATTCTCCATTTGTTAAAAAGATGATCCTTTCCCCGCTGAACTGTCTTGGCACCTGGTGTAAATCAATTGGAGGTCTATTATAGAGCACTTATTTTTAAGCAGCCTTGCTTTAAGGCCAATTTTGCTCAGATACTGAGGTAATATCCTTATGAATCGTCTACCTAGCACCTTGTATATTACAAGGTTTTCCCACCCTTCGCTGAGTGTAGCCTGAACTATTCCCAGTTTTGTGTGAACTTGGAGGATTTTCTCATTTGTTTTTCTTTCTTTTTTTTTTTTCAGGTGGTTCTTTCCTTGGTGTGGTTTCTTCACATGGAGGTTCCAATTAGTACTCAGCCCAAGGCTTGAGGGGAACTCTTTGCGAATCTCCAAAGCCCCCTCGCTCTCTCTGCCACTCTCTCCGCTCCACTACTCTGCCCTGCACCATTTACTGCCCAGCCTTCCTGAATTCTCATCTGTCTCCACCTTTCAGAGGAACCCCTGGATTTTGCTTGGGTTCCCCTCTCCCTGAACTATATAGTCTGGAGGTTCTCCCCAGGCAGTTACTTGGGACAATTGCAGGGCTTACTTCATTTGTTTTCTTTTTCTTAGGAACCACTCTCCTATACTATCTGTGGTCCACTATCTGAAACCATTTTTTCCATATTTTTTCCTAGTTGCATAGGATGGGAGAGTAAATCTGGTCATCGCTGCTCCATCTTGGCTGCGAGCAGAACTGCCATTAGGATAATTTTTTCAGTCTTCAATCTACCATGTGGCTTATAAAGTGTCCACTTCACACACACATGCACAGTTACACACAGACACACTTATGCTCTCCCTACCTCCCCCAAACACCAAACACCTTGTACCTCTGGTCTTCTGTAAAGCTTTCTCTTTATACTAAAGGCATGGGTCAACCACCAATCACTGTAGATTACAGTGGACCAAAACAGGAGGGTGAGTGTAATATCCTCCCTTAACTGGCTGAAGGAACTTCTGGGCTGTATTTTCATTTTTTCATTCATTCATAGATGACAACCTGGATTTAATTTTCTTGGATTGCATTTTGGGCCAGATCACTTTCTCTCTTTGTGGTTTGGGGCAATATATTCAACCTTTCTAAGCCTCCATGTCCTTGCCTGTAAAATGGGGACATGGAGGTAGTGTGGGAATTGAGTGAGACACTCTAGGTAATGGGCTCATTTAGCACAGTGTCTGACACAGAGAAATGATGCTAAATCTGGCTCACTTCTCAGTGCTTACCTCACTCAAGCTATCATTGGCACCTGCACAGGTCAATCATTTCCTCTTTCTCAAATTTTCTTCTTCCCTTAGCGTCGAGTACAACACTTTCAGTTCTCCAAACCTCACTGTCTTCTCAGCTTAGTATCTCCTGACTATATGTACATTCTTTGTTACTTATGCTTACTCTGTGGGAGATCTCACTCATTCTCATGGTTTTAAATACTGTCTCTAAACTGATTATTCCCAAATCACGTCTCTATCCTAGAACTTGACTTCGAGCTCTAGACTTGCATATCTCAGTGCTGATTTTTGCTGTTTAGTCTCCAGATCCATCCCTTATCCGCCCCCTGCTCTGCTCTGTATTGTGGAGGGTGGAGGGATCCGATTCTGCAGGCTGCTTTTCTGATGCTCCTTTGTCAGCTGTCTTCAGGCTACATTTGACCCACAGGAAGGATGGATGGGTAATTGGAAGATAGAAGGAAGAAAATGCTGTTGGTATTTCTAGTTTCCTTCTTTCAGCCTTGCACACTCCTGGGCTGCTGCTCAACACCACAACCTCTGATCTCTGGTGACACTTCTGTTCCTAGTAATGCACTTCCTGCTGTGGTTAATCTCTGAGGGGCCTGCCTAAACCCTGTTTGGCTTTCCAGCAATTCCACTACATGTATAATGTTTCTTCTCTTTGGAAACCTAGAGTTGGTTCTATTTCCTAATAGGGCCTTAGCTGATAGAATTCTGTAAGTCAGCAGATCGAGAACAAACTCTTGATTTCCTTCCTGAGCTGCCCTTCTTGGTACTTTCTCCATTTGAATTCATGGCAGTCCCATCATACTAAACACATTAGCACCAACCTGGGCACCACTTTCTCTCTCATACCTGTATTCAATGCACCTGCAGAGCCTGTTGGTTCGACTTTAGGAACACAACCAGAGGTGACTATTTTTCACCACTTCCACCGCTCTCACCACCCTGGTGTAAGCCATTATTAATTCTCACTTGGATTATTGCAGTAGCCTTCTCACTAGTCTCCCTGCTTCTGTAATGACTCCAGCAATCAGCGTGATCTTTCTAAACTGTAAACCAGATTATGCTGCCTTTCTACTGAAAACCTTCCAATGGCTTCTCATCTTGGTCAGAAGAAAAAGCAAAGTCGTTACAACTGGCCCCTAACTATCTCTAGGACTTCATGTTCTACCACTGTCCACCAGCACATCCTGTCCCAGCCACACTGACTGCATTATGCTTACTAGAACCCACTAAGAGTACTCCTGCCTCCTGGCCTTTGCATTTGCTATTCTCTCACTCTCAGAAAGCTCTTTCCCTAATGTCCACATGGCTCTCAATCACCTCCTAACGATTTGTGCTCAGATGTCACTTCATTAGAGGGTCCTTTCCCGTTTACTTTGTACATAGCATAGCATCCTCTTTCATTACCCTTATATTATTTTATTGTTCTTCATAGCACTTTCCACTACTTCATTTTAATTTTTATTCATAGTATCTCTTCCCATCAGAAAGTAAGGAGAAGAGGGATTTTGCTTGGTTGCTATACCCCTGCTGTCAATAATGCTAGGCATTTTAGTAATAAAAATAAAATGTACGGCAAGATTGCTCTGCGTCAGGCATCATGCTAAACGCTTTATACGTAGCATACAATTGCTTTTCATCTACGGAGCTCAGGAACAGTTGTGCCAGGCGCGGAGGGCAGCGGACCTGCAGGAGCTCCTAGGGCAGGGCTGGGCAGCCGCCAGCCACTAGGAATCCGGGCGGCTGCCGCCTCCTGCGGGCGGAGCTGGTGAGCTGCCCAGCTCGGGAGGCGTTGGACTCGGCCAAGGCGCATGCTCTGTGTGAGTGGCGGGCCGGCTCGGAAGCGGGGGCTGTAGCGGGGAGCGACGCCGCCCCCGCACTTCCCTGCGGCCGGCTGCTCTGATTGGCCCGCGCGTCCCGTGGGCTTAGCCCGCTCGAGTTCTTCTGGGGGCGCTCCAGCCCCGCAAGCCCGGTCTGTGGCTCTGGACAGCGGCCCGGGAGGACGGCTCCAGGTGAGTGCAGGCACAGGCTGCGCTGCCACGTGCGGGTGCGGCCGCTCCGGCCTCCCTCCACGGCCCCGAGGCCAGGGCCCCGCGCCGCTCCCGGCTGCTCAGCCGCGCCGCCCCTCAGTCTCTGTGGGCCGGCGTTGGTCTCTGGCGCGTCTTGCCTGGAGCCTTTGCGGGTGACTCTTCTGCAGGCGGGGCCCGAGCATCTCCCACGTGACTTCAGGAGTCAGACTCTCTAAA